AAACTTTAATGCTCTTTAATAGTAAAGGGAAAAAATGGCAATTAGAATTTCTTAGAGGGGCAGGCACTTTGGCACAATGGTTAAGACACTGCATAAGGGGGCTGGCGCTGTGGCGTAGCTGGTAAAGCTGCCATCTGCAGTGCCAGCATCCTATATGGACGCTGGGTTGAGTCCTGGCTGCTCCACTTCTGATTCAGCTCCCTGCTAATGTGCCTGGAAAATAGTATAGGATGGCCCTAGTGCTTGGGCCCCTGTAGCCAAGTGGGAGTCTGGGAAAGAAACTCCTGGCTCCTGGCTTTGGGTTGGCCCAGCTCTGGCTGTTGAGGCCATTTGGGGAGTGAACCAGCAGATGGGAAATCTCTGTAATTCTGCCTTTCAAATAAGTAAATCTTAAAAGACACTACATAGGATGCCTGCATCCCAGGAGTACCTGTGCATAAGTCCCAGCTCTGTTTCTGGTTCCACCTTCCTGTTAATGCACACCCTGGGAGGCAGCAGGTGATGACTCAAGTACTTTGGTCCCTGCCACCCACATGGGAGTTCTGAATTGAATTCCTGGCTTTGGCCTGTCCCAGCCTTAGCTGGTAGGGGCATTTGCAGTGTGAACTAGTGAATGGGAGATCGGTCTCTGCATTTCAAATATAGTAAATAAAAAGAATTTCTTGGAGGCAGCCTATATGATTTTATTTAAGGTAATTTTTTTAACCATTTTTATAGAAGTTTAGAATACCAGCTAGTATCTGTAAATGTTATCCCACCATAGTTACCCACATTATACAGTGTACAGAATAATCTGTGTAAAGGATAATCTTGAATTTATATCAAATATTCACTTATTGAAAAATCAAAAATATATTTGAATAGCTAAGTCTGCATTAGAAGCTCTATTTTGGGGCTGATGTTGTGGCGTACCAGATTAAGCTGCTGCCTGCATTCCTGGCAGCCCATATAGGCAATTGTTTGAGTCCTGGCTGCTCCACTTCTGATCCAGCTCCCTGCTAATGTGCCTGGAAAAGCAGCAGAGCATGGCACAAGGGCTTGGGCCCGTGTACCCACAAGACCTAGAAGAAGCTCCTGGCTTCAGTCTGGCCCTGCCTTGGTAGTCTTTTGGGGAGTGAACCAGTGGATGAAAGGTGTCTCTCTCTCTCTCTCTGTTCTTCTAATTCTTTCAAGTAAATAAATAAATCTTAAAAAATATACATATTGTATGTTAGTCAAAATCCATTCTCCCCCCATATTAGGGCAAGAGAATGATTCATAGAATGGCAGCCTTCTCATGTGTTTTCTGATAGGTGACTTATGGCTGCAGTGGCCAGAGATGGGCCAATCTAAAACCAGGAGCCTCTTCCACATCTCCCATGTGGGTGCAGGGGCCGAGGTGCCTGGGCTGTCTTCCAGATGTTTTCCCAGGTGCATTAGCAGAGAGCTGGATCGGAAGTGGAACAGCCAGGACTCAAACTAGTGCCCACATGGGATGCTGGCGCTGGTGCCACAGATGGCAGCTTAACCCACTACACCACAGCGCCAGCCCCACTTGTAGGTTATTTTAAAAGGAAACAAAAACTTAGTGCTGCATGGTTTCTTCTTTTAGGCTCGATTTTATTCTCCAGCCACCATATTTATTGATGAGATAGATTCCATTTGTAGTCGCAGGGGGACCTCTGAAGAACACGAAGCAAGCAGAAGGGTGAAAGCAGAGCTGCTGGTGCAGATGGACGGTACGTACGCGGGCTGGCCGGGCGGGGCTCGTGCCGCCCCGGTGGGTCAGCTCTCCCCACAGTGTCCCACCTCCGAGGCTTCTAAGGCTTGTTCCTCACTCCACGTACATCAAAGGGGGCTGGTGCACAGTGCCCGCACACACAGTTCTAAATTTAGTACACTGCCAGTGGCAACCTGTCAGAAATAGTGACCATCTCCAGGGCACCTTTTGACATATATGGTGATCTCTTTTTTAGCCATGGTGAAATAGAAATAAATACAAATAAAGCAGCCTTGATTTTATATCTTTTGAAAAACACTTTAATAGGTAGCTTTTTTTTTCTTAAAAAATTCATTATTTATTTATTTGAAAGAGTTACAAAGGAAGAGGGAGAGACATAGAGAAAGAGATCTTCAGTCCCGCTGTTTCACTCCCCAGATGACTTCATCAGCCAGAGCTGGGCCAGGCAAGAAGCCAGGAGTCGGGAGCTTCATCCAGGTCTCCCACACGGGTGCAGGGACCCAACCACTTGGGCCGTCTTGTGCTGCTTTTCCCAGGCCATTAGCAGGGAACTGTATGGGAAGTGGAGCAGCCAGGACATGAACTGGCACCCATGGGGGATTCTGGCATTGCAGGTGGTGACTTTTACTCTCTATGCCACAACGCCAGCCTCAATGATGAAATCCATTGTGAGCCATAGTTTTAGCATATCACAGAAACCCAATTCTCTCTCTTTTTTTTTTATTTGAAAGAGTTACACAGAGAAAGAAGAAGAGGCAGAAGAAGAATCCGCTGATTCACTCCCCAACCGGCTGCAATGTTTAGAGTTGTGCAGATCCGAAGCTAAGAGGGTTACAGAGCAAAGTAGAGCCAGAGAGCCTGGGCTAGGGCGGGGCGGGGTGGGGGGTCTTCCAGCCGATGGATCACTCTCCAATTGGCTGCAATGGCTGGAGCTGTGCCAATCCGAAGGCAATGGTCTTCCAGTCCATTGGTTCACTCCCCAATTGGCTACAATGGCCAGAGCTGCGTTGATCCGAAGCCAGGAGCCTCCTCTGTGTCTTCCCACAGATTCAGGGGACCAAGGACTTGGGCCATCTTCCACTGCTTTCCCAGGCCATAGTAGAGAGCTGGATCGGAAGTGGAGCAGCGGGACTCAAACCAGCACCTGTATGGGATGCCGGCATTGCAGACAGTGGTTTACCTGCTACGCCAGAGCTCCAGCCCCTCAATTTTTTTAGATTACAATATCATATAAAAGGGAGCTTAAAAAAGTTCATGGAAAATTCATTCAGGTTATCTTTTTTTTTTTTTAAAGATTTATTTTATTTATTTGAAAAACGAGAGTTACAGAGAGAGGTAGAGACAAAGAGAGAGGTCCTCCATCCGCTAGCTCACTCCTCAGATGGCCACAGCTGCGCAGATCTGAAGTCAGGAGTTTCCTCCGGGTCTCCCACACGGGCGCAGGGGCCCAAGGACTTGGGCCATCTTCCACTGCTTTCCCAGGCCATGAGAGAGCTGGACCGGAAGAGGAGCAGCCAGGACAAGAACTGGCGCCCATATGGGATGCCAGCGCTTCAGGCCTGGGCTTCAACCTGCTGCACCACAGCGCCAGCCCCTACGTTATATATATATATTTTTAAGATTTATTTGAAAGTCAGAGTTACACAGAGAAAGGAGAGGCAGAGGGGTCTTCCAATCTGTTGGTTCACTCCCCAATTGGCCACAATGGCCAGAGCTGCACCGATCTGAAGCCAGGAACCAGGTGCTTCTTCCGGGTCTCTTCTACTGCTTTCCCAGGCCATAGCAGAGAGCTGGATGGGAAGTGGAGCAGCCAGGATTAGAACCGACACCCATAAGGGATGCGGTGCTTCAGGCCAGGGTGTTAACCCACTGCACCACAGCGCTGTCCCTGCCCCTAGGTTATCTTTTAATTTCATATTCTGTGAATGGGTTTTTTTTAAAGGTTTATTTACTTATTTATTTGAAAGTCAGAGTTACACAGAGAAGAGGCAGAGAGAGAAATGTCTTCCATCCGCTGATTCACTCCCCAACCGGCTGCAATGTTTAGAGTTGTGCAGATCCGAAGCCAAGAGGGTTACAGAGCAAAGTAGAGCCAGAGAGCCTGGGCTGGGGTGGGGGGTGGGGGTCTTCCAGCCGATGGATCACTCTCCAATTGGCTGCAATGGCTGGAGCTGTGCCAATCCGAAGGCAAGAACCAGGAGCTTCCTCCGGGTCTCCCATGTGGGGGCACAGCGCCAGCCCACCCTCTGTGAACTTTTAAAAATTATTTATTTAAGCCGAGAAAGAGCTACCATTGCTGGTGGGTTGCAGGAACTCAGCTACTTGATCCATCACTGCTCACTCCCAGGATCTCCATTAGCAGGAAGCTGGAATCCAGAGCCAGAACTGGAATTGAACCCACACCTGTATAGGAATTGCAGGCATCATTACCGTCAGGCTAAATGTAAATGTGCCCCCTGACCAGCTGCGGACAGTTGGCTTTCTAAGTCTTAAGGGGCTTGTAAACTATACTCCTATAATTGCTGTACTAAATACTTGATAATTTTTAAATGCTGAACTTTATTTTGCATCATTTTATTTTCTCCCCTTATCCTTCTTTTAGGTGTTGGAGGTGCTTCTGAAAATGATGACCCTTCCAAAATGGTTATGGTTCTGGCAGCCACTAATTTTCCCTGGGACATAGATGAGGCTTTAAGACGACGTCTTGAAAAGCGCATCTATATTCCTTTACCATCAGGTCTGTTCATCTGTATCTTATCGGGAGAGCTCCTGTAAATCCTCAGCTTGTTTTGCTTAATTTAATGTCTGGTATAAAGTAGCTGTCCTTAGACAGGTAAGAAAGGCCAGCTGTCTTCCCTCATTTTACTACTTTGGCTCTATCTAGAGCCTGCGAGCCTTGATACTAAATATTAAAAATTCAGTGAGGAATGGCTCTTGAAATTTCAGGCAAATCAGCTTTTAAGAACTGGAAAATAACTCCTCACACAAAGCAGAGGAGAAAAAACAATACACTGTTTTTATGTTGAAGGCTTACATTTTAAAATGTTTCTACCATTAGCAAAAGGCAGGGAGGAGCTACTACGAATAAGTCTGCGTGAGCTGGAATTGGCTGATGATGTTGACCTTGCAAGTATAGCCGAAAAAATGGAAGGTTATTCAGGTGCGGACATTACCAATGTGTGCAGGTACGTATCATTTCGGAAGCATAGGTTTTTGTGGGTATATACTTCTATGACACGTTTCTGGCAAATTAAGATAGATGAAGAGTCGAGATCCACACTACAGTCTGTAGTCGGGTCATGAAAGTTTTTTTTTTTTTTTTAATTTATTTATTTTTGATAGACAGAGTGGACAGTGAGAGAGAAAGAGAGAAAGGTCTTCCTTTGCCGTTGGTTCACCCTCCAGTGGCTGCCGCGGCCGGCGCACTGTGGCCGGCGCACCGCACTGATCCGATGGCAGGAGCCAGGTACTTATCCTGGTCTCCCATGGGGTGCAGGGCCCAAGGACTTGGGCCATCCTCCACTGCACTCCCTGGCCACAGCAGAGAGCTGGCCTGGAAGAGGGGCAACCGGGACAGAATCCGGTGCCCCAACCGGGACTAGAACCCGGTGTGCCGGCGCTGCAAGGCGGAGGATTAGCCTAGTGAGCCGCGGAGCCGGCCATGAAAGTTAACTGTGAGCAGGTGTTAGTGTGATATTTGGGGATCTTTCATGGCCGTGAAGTCTGTAGTATATCTGGAAGCTACAGATTCAAGAAACTAAATTGAGAACATTCTGGAAAATGTGGAAAATCAGTAATTCTCTTAGATTTTAGGTTATTGGTGCGTTCTGTACTGTAATATAGGAAATGACTGTAATAACTACATTGATTTGGCCTACCTGGACAGTCTCGTTTTCAGTTAACGTATCCTAAATGTGACAGGTAAAGAGATTTAGTAGGCTTCATCCTAATCTGAGGTATTGGCTCAGATTAGCAAGGGGCTTGACTGTACTGGTTTTTCTCTCAAGACAGGATACTACAGAGAGTTACCAGGATTAGCAATAACATGTATACATAAAGCAGCTGTAAACAGTGCTTCAACACAGTTGTAGAAGACAGTAGGAAAAATAAATTTGGGGCAAGTGTTTGGACTTGCAGTTAAGATGCTGGTTAAGATGGCCATATTCCATATCAAAGTGTCTGAGTTTGATTCCCAGCTCCCAACTTCACCTTCCTGCTAATGAAGACTGGGGAGGCAGCAGTGAGGGCCCAGGTGATGGGGTGAGGAAGGCCTAGGTCGACTTCCTGCCCCAGGCTTTCCTTGCAGGCATTTGGGGAGTGAACCAGTGCCTGGCAGCTCCATTGGTCTCTCTGCCTCTCATGTGTTTATTTTGATGCCAAAAAATGTTGAGACCCAGGCATATAAGTGGTCTTCAAAAAATTTATGAATTAAGAACCCCATGCATGGATTTGAAAGTTTTTACACTGGTACAGGCACTTAAGATGCCCACATGCCCTGTCAGAGTACCTGGGTTTGAAAACCAGCTCCAGCTGATTCCAGCTTCCTGCTAATGCAGAGCCCTGAGAGCCAGCGCTGAAGGCCCAAGTAATTGAGTTATGCCGCTCACGTGGGAGACCTGGATTGCATTCCCAAGCTCCCACCTTTGCCCCAGCCCAGCCCTGGCCACTGTGAGCATCTGAGGAGTAAATCAGCAGATGGGAGCTCTGTAGTTTTTGCATCAAATTGAGCATTTCTTAATTTCACTTTTCCATGAACTTTTTGAGGTGCCCTTGTACTAGAGTGTGAAGTTCCTCTAACAGAGCAGGAAAGGAGAAACCTCCTTCCTTGATGAGCTGGCTTTCACGCTCCCTGGAGAAAATAATTTCCTACCAGCAGGTGGTCTTTTGCCTTTGTGATGCCTACTCCTGATTTCAGTTAACACTTGTAATGAAATTCACTTGCTAGTTCTTTATTGCACCTTTTCTCCTTGGGCTTTATGCTAATTAATTACTTACATTGATTAGAATCCTCCTCATTTCATCCTGGAAGATTTAACTGCTGAAACACAACTCAGACCAGGCCTTGTATTCCAATATACAATTCTGAGCAATACACATATATAAATATAAAAGATTTCAAAATCTTACTTGAGAGTCAGACAGACTCACTCCTCAGATGCTCACAATGGCTATGGCTGGGCTGGGCTGGGCCAGGCTGGGCTGGAGCCAGGAGCTCCACCCAGGTCTCCCATCTGGGTGGCAGGAACCTCACTGAGCCATTGCTGCTGCCTTCCACCATCTGCATAGTAGGAAGCTAGAGTCAGGAGCCCTAAGTGTGACCCAGGTACTGCAGCGGAGCACACAGGCATCTGAACATCTGCCCCTTTAATAGCATCTCAGCTGGACCATTTTACAGTGCATGCATTGAGAATTCTTATATCTCGTCAAAATAATAACTTGTGATTTTAACTTACAACTAGGGATGCATCCTTGATGGCTATGAGAAGGCGTATTGAAGGTCTGACTCCAGAAGAAATCCGGAATCTTTCAAGAGAAGAAATGCACATGCCTACAACTATGGAAGATTTTGAAATGGCTTTAAAAAAGGTTTCTAAGTCAGTGTCGGCTGCAGACATTGAAAGATACGAGAAATGGATATTTGAGTTTGGATCATGCTAAATTCTCACATGCAAATTGTGAGAAATCTGCCTTAAGTCTTTGGAAAATAATTAAATGTAGTATTTCATTGCACTGAGTGCTATATTTTTTTAAACTTTCATAATGATAAGATTTAAAAAAAGATTCTGAATAAAGGCAATTTTTTAAGCTGAAAATTTGTTTTAATTTTTCATTACCTGATTTCTCTTCCAGTGGCTACAAATGCTGCAGCACAAATATTGTTAGTTAATTAGCTTGGAAAATGGTCTGGCTTTATTCCTGTAAGTATAGCATCTTCTCTCCCACAGTGAACTGCCAGCATTTCTTCCAGGGAGTACAGTAATGCCGACTCCAGCTTCCTAGGCAAGCCAGTGGGCAGCTGAAGACTCCTGAACATTTTACACGAGCAGTGAATACGGCTCAGTCCATGCCCCATATGTGCCTCCTTCCCACCTGCTCTCAGCACACTTTCCCTCCTCTTCTGACCAACCTCATTTTACTGTGCATTTTTAAGAGAGGAAAATACAATCTTGTCTGCTTTATTCTACCCACATAAATGGCTGTGCTGCAGGCAAGTAGGTGTTTTTAAGCCAATGCTGCTCATTGCACTCTAATCAGACTCATTAGCTCATTCACTGAAGGTACTACTTTAACTAAAATAGTTAATGGTAAAAAATAAAATATATAAAAGTTAGTGGTTTAAAATTTTCATTAGGATTTCCACTTACAATTACTTATAGAAAATCGCTGGGGCTGGCATTGTAGCACAGGTCAAGCTGCCACTTGTGACACTGGCATCCCATTTGAGTGCTGATGCGAGTCCCAGCTGCCCCACTTCCGATCCAGCTCCCTGCTAATGCAGCTGGGAAAGCAGCAGAGGATGGCCCAGATGCTCGGGCCTTGCACTCATGTGGGAGACCCAGAAGAAGCTCCAGGCTTCTGACTTCAGCCTGGCCCAGCTCTGGCTATTGTGGCTATTTGGAGAGTGAACCAGCAGATGGAGGATCTCACTTTCTCCCTCTTGTCTCCCGCTCTCCCTTTCAACTCTTTCAAGTCAGTCAATCTTTAAAAAAAAAAAAAAAAAAAAAAAAAAAGCCACCCAGCCATAGAAGAGATTAGAGATTGAGCACTTTGCTGTGGTCAAGTCTTAGTGGCAAGAAAAAAAACCCAGATAGGAATCTGTTGATGGCAAAGCCTACAGGGTTTTTTTTTTTTTTTTTTTTTTTGACAGCGTTATAGACAGTGAAGGGGGGGGGGGGGAGGTCTTCCCTCTGTTGGTTCATTCCCCAAATGGCTGCCATGGCTGGCAGAGAGGAGGGGGAGAGAGAGAGAGAGATTGTGAATCTTCCCTCCATTGGTTCACTCCCCAAATGGCCGCCCCTATAATTTTCAATAGATCATTTGGCTTCCTCAGTTTTTTTCTTTGCTAGAATCTAGTTACGGTTAATGGGAGAATTGAGACCCTGTCATCATTTGGCGTACTGCTCCTTTCTAATAACTTATGCAGGCCAGCGCCGCGGCTCACTAGACTAATCCTCCACCTAGCGGCGCTGGCACACCGGGTTCTAGTCCCGGTCGGGGCGCCGGATTCTGTCCCAGTTGTCCCTCTTCCAGGCCAGCTCTCTGCTGTTGCCCGGGAGTGCTGTGGAGGATGGCCCAAGTGCTTGGGCCCTGCACCCCATGGGAGACCAGGAGAAGCACCTGGCTCCTGCCATCGGATCAGCGCGGTGCACCAGCCACAGTGCGCCGGCCATTGGAGTGTAAACCAACGGCAAAAAGGAAAACCTTTCTCTCTGTCTGTCTCTCTCACTATCTACTCTGTCAAAATAATAATAATAATAAACTTATGCAATGAGGAAGAAAATAAAAGATTTTCTACTTTAAGATCAACTTATGAATTGTATGCCATTATTTATTCTTCTAACAATAAGAAGATAGGAACAGTCACCTTGTGAAAAGTACTAATTAAAAGTAAAACGAGGGGCCAGCGCCGTGGCTCACTAGGTTAATCCTCCACCTGTGGCACCAGCATCCCACATGGGTGCCGGTTCTAGTCCCGTTGCTCCTCTTCCAGTCCAGCTCTCTGCTTTGGCCTGGGAAAGCAGTGGAGGATGGCCCAAGTGCTTGGGCCCCTGCACCCGCGTGGGAGACCAGGAAGAGACACCTGGCTCCTGGCTTTGGATCGGCGCAGTGCCGGCCGTGGCAGCCATTTGGGGGTGAACCAACGGAAGGAAGACCTTTCTCTCTCTCTCACTGTCTGTAACTCTACTTGTCAAATAAATAAATATTTTAGGGAAAAAAAAAAAGCAAAATGAATCATCAGGTGCAGGCATTTGACCTAGCAGTTACAAACACTCACATCTTGTATCAGCGTGCCTGGGTTTGAGTACTGGCTCTGCTCCTGATTCCAGCTTCCTGCTAATGTGGTCCCAGGAGGCAACAGGTGCTGGCTTAAGTGAGTAGGTCCCTGCCTTTCAGGTGGAGAACCTGGATTGGGGTTTTGGCTCCTGGTGGGCATCTGGAGAGTAAGCTAGAAGATGGGGACTGTTTCTCAAAAAATTTCAGATTAAAGAAGTTTTCTTTAAAAAAAAGTTTATTAAAAAAACGAAATCACTCCTTCATTCTAGTACCTGTCACCCTTCCCTGCAACACACACACACCTATTTAGCCTAAGTAGTAGAGTGGCTTAGGGGTACCCGTTTGGCCTGGCAATCAAGATGCCCACTTCCCACATCAGAGTACCTGGGTTCAAGTCCCATCTCAGCTCTCAATTCCAGCTTCCTCCTAATGCAGACCCTGGGAGGCATGCGTGTCTGGGGAGTGAACCAGCAGATCCAGCAGATAAGAACATGTGCTCTGTGTCTTCATCGCCCTGTCAAAAAACTACACTTAAAAAAAAAAGTGTACAAAACTAGCCATTGCTTATGGGACAATGTTTTTAAAATGATGGCTGCAATCAAAATGTTTTTAATGAAATAAAGTATCACATGGAATAAAGTTAAATGTACTAGGCCATAATATAAAGCAGTATACATAGAACTGTAAGACCACACACACACACATACACACACACACTCTCTCTCTCTCTCTCTCTCTCCCCATGACACTGATGGACTCATTAACTCATCTGAGCCCTGGTTTCAGCCAGTATAAGTGATAGGAGCTATCCTTGCATCTGTGCATAAGTAATTCTCATATAGGTAATTCTCACTAGGTTTTATATAAATTTGTACCAAAATGGCTATACTTTTTCCTCAAAACAGTTTAGAGTGACAAGATGTCACTACTTTTAAATCCTGGCATGTTTGAGGGTAAGGGGTCGTGGTACAGGATACAATCAAATAATAATACATTTTAGTGGTTTTTATACCAAGTCACAAACTTAATAGGCACACTGTACTGAATAAAAAAATAAGTGTTAAGTTTTTGAGCTTTTAAATTAGAATTTCATAAAGTGCTTTTCATAAAGTTGTATATATTACAGTAAATAAGTGGAGATCATTTTCTTAGCAAAGGCACCTTGAAAAGTTATTGGCACACTGGCATTTTGTCTTGCCTTTTTCTTTTTGGTAATTTCAAAGTCTCTTCACATGCCTTCCACTTTGTTCAGATTTTCCTTAACAATTCATCTGAGCAACTACCCCTTTTATAGAGTAAGGTGAATTTTAACTTGGCACCATGAAGTGAATTTTCAAGCCCTCTTAGGAATTTAGCAAGTTCTCTCTCTATAAACTGGTTCTTAATGACTTAAAGAAAATTATATTCAAATGGCAGATTTCAAGCCAACAGACGAATTCAGAGTGCATGATTTGAGATGTTTTCAGTACATGCTTTGTCTTCAAGGTTTTCCACTTTTTTCTCCAGTCCATCAGGATATAAGTTGACAGCTGTCATGGGTATAACATTCACTTGATCCAACTGAAGAATTCCTCTGAAATATAAGGTGATTATTTGCTATAAAAATATTTCCTCCACTTAGAAAGATGCTATATTATAATATATCCCTAAGGTAAGGTACTTTTGTTTCATTTGTACAAACTCTGAGCCCCAAGTTCACTTTCATCAGACTGACTGAGGGAATAGAAAGGTACAGAGGAAGTGTATTTACTTGGTACTACAAGAAAGCAAGGGATGGAGTAAGCACAGATCTCCAAGGATTTCCACAGGTTGGGCAAAAACATAAGCACGGACTGCTTCAATTTTTTTTAAAGATGTATTTATTTATTTGAAAGGCAGAGTTCCAGAGAGGCAGAGATGTAGGCAGAGGGAAGGAGGGAGGGAGGGAGGGAGAGAGGGAGATAGGGAGGGAGAGAGAGGGGTCTTCCATTCCCTGGTTCACTCCCAAGATGGCCACAACGACTGGAGCTGTGCCAGTCTGAAGCCAGCAGCAAGGAGCTTCCTCTGGGTCTCCCAAGCAGGTACAGGGGCCCTGTACTTGGTGCCTTCCCAGGCACCAAGTGGACTAGATCTCTCTTCTTTGTCTCTCCCTCTCTCTTTGTAACTCTACCTTTCAAATAAATCTTAAAAAAAATTAGTAATTAACTGTGCTAATGGCACAGGAACAAATAGAACAGTGGAACAGAAGAGAGACTAATGTACATGAGAATTTATAAGAAGGTGACACTCCAAGTCAGTGCAGATCACTAATGACAATGTTAGCAGAGATGAGTGGAATAGGTTCTGGTCTTCACGTAAGAAAGGATTCAGACGTGAGAGAGCAGTGGGAAGCAGGGTAGCAAGGTTTAATGAGGTAGGGCATCGTTGGAATGGATGGGACAGAAGCTGAGAGTGCCCAGTCACTCAGGGGAAGGCAAGGTTACGTGGTTTAAAGGAGACCATACGCCGGGCTCCTGAGTGTGGGCTGGGTGAAATTCCTCCCGGCCTCACTGCTCGGTGCTGTCGGACCAGGCAGTCCACCTGGCGCTGGGCAGAGGCGCCTCCCCTGGGCTGTGAGGGGTTTTGCCCAATGTTAGGCCAGGTAACCCATCTGGTGCTGAGGAGGGAGGATTCTCCTGGGGAGCTTCCCTTGGGGGAAGGCTGAGACCACCGTTACCGGGGTCTGGGCAGACTTTGGAGTGTAAAATACTGGGCTGCTTCCCAGCTTCTGCCGACGCTTTGTTTCCCCTAGGCCCCTCACACACAGGCTAATTTCTAACTTCCTACCTAACATGCCCCCCTCAAGAGAAGAGACCCATGCTCTTACGCGTACAGAATGGGGGAAGGTCTCAGTTTCTGTATCTCCCTCCAGCTGACAGATGGACGTAAAGAGGGGTGGGGAGGGAAGGGGGCAGGCTGGATGTTGAGCTGATCACCAATGGTCAATGACCTAATCAGTTAGACCCATGCAATGGAGCCTCTATTACATAAGCAGAAGGGCTGGGCTGGGCTGAGAGCGCCACACAGCTGATCACGTGAAGTTCCAGGGGGGAGGGCATGAAAGCCCAGCCCCCCCTGCTCACCATCCCTCACCCTGTGCATCTTACCCATCCAGCCGCTCATCTTTAACAGCCTTCATAATAATAAACAGTCAACAGCTCCCCAAGTTCTGTGAGCTGTCCTAGCAAATTAATCAAACTAGAAGAAGGGCTCGTGGGAACCTCAGTTTACAGCCAGTTGGTCAGAAGCACAGGCTACAGCTTGAGGCATGCAATCTGCTATTACCCCAGGTAGACAGTGTCAGAACTGAATTGAATTCGAGGACACCCAGCTGGTATCCACTGGAGAACCAGCTGGCAGGGAGAGGTAGAGAAATCCCTATCCTCACACTGGTGACCAGTGGCAAAGTAGAGAACAGGGAAAATACTGGTTTTTCCTATCTCTTAAAACTATACAGCTCTAAAAAGACTAGGGAAGCCATATGCTATTAGGATTTGTCCATTAAAAAAAAAAAAAAAAAAACACTAATCTGGGGCTGGTGCTGTGGCATAGTGGGCAAAGCCATCATCTGCAGTGCTGGCATCCCATATGGGCACCAGTTCAAGACCCAGCTGCTCCTCTTTCAATCCAGCTCTCTGCTAAGTCCTGGGAAAGCAGTAGAAGATGGCCCAAGTCCTTGGGCCCTTGTAGCCACGTGGGAGACCCAGAAAAAGCTCCTGGCTCCTGGCTTCTGATCAGCCCAGCTCTGGCCATCGCAGTCATTTGGGGAGTGAACCAGCAGATGGAAGACTCTCTCTCTGGCTCACGCTCTCGCTTTCTCTCTCTCTCTTTGCCTCTGCCTTTCTGTAACTTTGCCTTTCAAATAAATAAATCTTTTTTAGAAAAACAACTAATTTAAAAATTGAAATAAAAAAAAAAGAATAAGTACGCCTGTAAGTGCCCTGATAGGGAAAGATCTGAAGTAGCTGGTTCCCAAACGCCCTGGGTCCCCTAGGCTGGAGAGCAGACTCACAGAGGGACCACGGAGTGTCTCTCCATCTCTGCACAGCTGGGTTTCGGGTGATTGCAATCTTGACTGTAGGGTTACTGTGCAAAAGCTTATGTTGAACAGGAAATGAGGGTGACAGTGTCCCATGTAAGATAACAAGGTATTACGTAGTGCCCTATAGGCAAACACATCCCATGAGTAAGCATTTTAAGAATGAAAATTTCATTAGGCCTGGATAGGGGCATCGAAAGATAATTACTGACATGCTAGGGATGCTATGAACCAGGGAAGTTTGGGTACCACTGTCTTAAGTGAAAAAAGGAAACAGCAGGACAATTAACAGAGTCCAGTCGGAAGAACAAGTGTTGTGACACGGCAGGTGAAGCCAGCACCTGGGATTCCCACGTCTCCTATCGGGGTGCCAGTCTGAGTCCCAGCTACTCTGCCTGCAAGGCAGCTTTCTGCTAATGCCTCCTGGAGGGCAGCAGATGAGGGCTCAAGCGCCTGGGGCCCCACCACCCCACGGCAGACCCGGCTGGAGTTCCAGGCCCAGCCCCGACTGGTGCAGTCATTTGCGGAGTGAACCAGTGGAAGATCTCTCTCCATGTGTCTCTGTCACTCTGCCTTTCGAATAAATAGTCTTTTTAAAAAAGAGTCTAGGATGGGTATAGGAGAGGGAGGAGGAAGAGGGGTGGGAGTGTGGGTGGGAGGGCGGGCATGGCAGGAAGAATCACTATATTCTTAAAGGTGTATTTACAAAAAAAATTATTATACATTAAAAAAAAGAATCTAGGTTGATAAATAATTTTAATTATCTAGTAATACATAAACCTGAAATAAAAGATATCCAGCATCTTTTAGTTGACAATGACAAATACTACGCGCAAAAATGAGAACTGAAGAACAGAGACGGAAAGGGATGCTTTCTCCTAACTGCTCCTCGTGGATCTACATTGACTAAACCTTTTATTACAAGAAAGCAGCCACATTGGCCGGCGCCGCGGCTCACTAGGCTAATCCTCTGCCTAGCGGCGCCGGCACACCAGGTTCTAGTCCAGGTCAGGGCGCCGGATTCTGTCCCGGTTGCCCCTCTTCCAGGCCAGCCCTCTGCTGTGGCCAGGGAGTGCAGTGGAGGATGGCCCAGGTGCTTGGGCCCTGCACCAGGGTGCTTGGGCCCCTGCCCCCCCCATGGGAGACCAGGAAAAGCACCTGGCTCCTGGCTCCTGCCATCGGATCAGCGCGGTGCACCGGCCGCGGTGCACCGGCCGCAGCGCGCCGGCCACGGCAGCCATTGGAGGGTGAACCAACGGCAAAGGAAGACCTTTCTCTCTGTCTCTCTCTCTCACTGTCCACTCTGCCTGTCAGAAAAAAAAAAGAAAGCAGCCACAGTGCCCCTGCTATTGATAAAGTACATTGCAAAATTTTTAAAGGACTTATTTATTTGAAAGAGAGGAGGTGAACAGCAGAAAAGTAAGAGAGAGAGAATAAAAGAGAGAGAGAGAAATCTAGTTCACTCCCCGAATTTCATTAAAATAAAAGTAAGCATAAATCACTTTATAAGCATTGGAAACATTAACATTATAAAAATAAGAGAAATACTCACTTGTAATCAAACCATGGGAAGAGCACCTTTAGGATGGTTATTACCACAGCTGCTCCCATAATTCCAACCACCACGACGTTCAGAAACATGAAGAAGAGTGGGAAGACACTGCCCCAGAACCCACACAGATCCTTCCTGAACTTTTCCATCCACTGACACATCACCTACAAAAGGAGCTGTGGTTAAATATGCGAGTTCCACTGAACTCTAAGAATAAACCTAACGTGTTCTGGGGTAACTGGATTTTCTATTTCGATTGTGGTGGTTGCATGGGTACCCACATTTATCAAAACTGGGTGCACTTTATTCTAAACAGTACCTCAACATTTTTTACAATTAGAAAGACTGTGTTCTAACAATACAAAGAAATGTTAACATCCTTTAAAACTATTTTTACTGCTGTCTTGACTACAAATCAAGTGAAGATAACAGCTACTTGATGAGGTGAGTTAGGCTGGCCTAAACAAAATGGAGCCACATCAACAGTCTGTTTCTAGTAGTAGCCACCCGACAAGAGAAGACTCAAACATCGGTAGCTTTTGGAATGGACAGCAAGTTCACTGTGAACAAAATACATTTCTGTACTTTGAGAGAGAGAAGAAAGCTCAGGTGAAATTGATGGCCCTAGCTGTGGAGCCTGTTCTGGGCTGGGCTGCTGAGGGTGGTGGGACAGACAGGATCAGGGGACCACAGGCCAGACCACTAAAGTGACCTGGATTCCTCCAGCAACCCCAACCTTCCATGAGAACTTGTTCTTTGAGACTAACCCTAGACTCTGGTCACTTAAGGAGACATTATTTTGGGAATAATGTGCCTGGAAAAGCAGCAGAGGATGGCCCCAGTGCTTGGGCCCCTGCACCCATGTAGGAGACCCAGATGAAGCGTCTGGCTCCTGGATTCAGCCTGGCCTAGCATTGACCATTGCAGCCAGTGATGGTTTCTACCCCATCTTAAACATTTATTTATTTGATTGACAGGGAGAGACAGAAAGATCTTCCATCCCCTGGTTCACTTCCCAGGCCAAAGCCAGAAGCCCAGAATTCCATCTGAGTCTTCCACGTGGGTGGCAGGGACCCAAGCACTTGGGCCATCCTCTGCTGCTTTCCAGGGGCATTAGCAGGAAGCTGGATGCAAAACGGAGAAGCTGGGACTCCAATATGGGAGGCCAAGATCACAACTGGCAGCTAAGCCACCAAGCCACAACACTGGCACCTCCAAGTCATTTTATATGCCAGTGTCTGTGCCTCACCATAACCATAAATGCTTATGATAACATCAGGAACAGGTAACACTAAAGAGGCAGACACTGTGCTACAAGCTGTTACGCCACTGCTTGGAATAACCACCTCCCACATCAGCGTGCTGGTTTGGGTCCGCACTCCCTGCTAATGCGTCCTAGGAGGCAGAGGATGGCTCAAGAGCTCAGGGTTCTGCCACCCACATGGGAGACCCGGATGGAGTTCCGGGCTCCGGGCCCCAGCCCGGCCCAGCCTTGGCTGCTACAGACATTTAGGGAAGGAAGCAGCAGATGGTGGATCCATGTGTGTGTGTATCTTTCTGTTGCTTTGCCTTTAAAGTAAGTGAAAATAAACAAAGAGTTAAAAACAGAAAGAGTGCCACTACACACTGAGCTCACCTTATATGAAGACGGAGGCTCCGCTCTGAGAGGAGTCTCGGGTAACTTGCCAGGTAGTGCGTCTCCATCCACGGTGGTCTCCACGTTCCTGATGAGGTACTGGCTGGTGGTCTGCAGGGAAGCAGCACTTTCTACTGAGGAGGAAGAGCAAGGTCATTGGGGAGCAGGGGACGCGCTGGGGCCTCTCCCGCCAGTGACGTTTAGGACAGAAAGGGCAAATATTGTCCCATGGGAGGAGAAGTAAACATATTTGATTATGCACTGATTTAAATGCCAGAAGGTGTAAACTAAGGAAGTTAGAAGGGGATACAACAGTTACGATTTTATCACATAAATTGGCGACATTTTTTAAATTCTATGAAAAAAACTATGAAATAAAAAGTGCTATGGAACAGTAGAAAACGGAACAGTTCTTCCTCTAAATGAACCTCTGCCATATTCTTCCTACATATTTGTGGTGAGAGCCAGGGTAAGTGTGAGAGTCCTGAATCCACACAGGTCCGAGACCGCCCCCCCACTCCTGGAATCAGGAAGACAAAAACACACGGGTGCTGTGGCCTGGACAGTCTCACCCTTCCCACAGTTTGTCTCAGCTGCAAATCAGGGAAACACCCTGCGCCTCCCGGTCCCCGTCACTGCCCCAGCGACTGGCAGCACCTGTCTCACGGTGTCTGGGGTCCTCTCCCACTGCTCTAGCCCGCATCCCACATCCCACACCCCACATGCCTTTGTTCGGCCGCTCCAACCCCTCTCCACCCATCTCCACTTCCTTCACACAAATCCCTACAAAGCCCCAGCCCTACACAGGAGCCCCGAGCTCCTCTCCCTCTGAGGCTGCTCCCAGCAGTTCTTCGCCCTAGAAACTTCTTTGCTCAGCGTGGTCTTGGGCGTCGCTCTCGGTTGTGGCTGAAACCCCTAACAGTTAGGATGACCGGTTACTGGACAAAGGCACCACACAACCAGAATCATCACATTCTACCGGGGCTCGGAATGGACTTCGAGTCCTCGAATGCACACAAAGTGACACACGTACACAGCATTTTTAAAAGCAGCTTGTTTCCAAACGTGTTGGCTACAACTGAGCTGTCACCAATGGAGTAGACATTACGAAGTCGAGGACTCTACAAAGCTACCAACTGAAAACATAACTTGCTTAATTCTTCAAGGAGCGACCCCCAGTACCTTTCTTGGAGAGGCTGGGAAGGGTGAAGAGAGCGTCGCCGCCCCGCGACAGAGAGTGCAGCACGCTTGCCTCCAGCGGGCGCGTGTAGCTTGAACGCCTGAGTGTTTGCTGATTCTTAACTAAAATAGCAACTTCGGTAACGTCCTTTGGTTGAGCCTATGAAGGAAAAACTAGGTTCACTACTGTTTAAATAATGGCACAGCCCCGTAAGATTTTAAAAGCCAATTTTTTCCTCCCTGTAACTAAGAAACTTGTCCTCCTCCCCTCACCTCCAGGTTGGGGCACTGGATTAGGACTTTCACCACTTTCTGTGTTAGCACTCTCTCTGGCAGGCTGAACCTGCTTCATCCCATTACGCATGGACACTTAGAGAGACAGCAGCAGGACTAGGAACCAAGTGCTGTCTCTCTTGAACGGTGTTCACAATATCTTTAAAGTGATACACACATGTAGGGATATGAGCAATTTCTAAAAAATTAACACTTCAATTGCTAAAGTAAGTACACAAAAATTCTAAATGTTTGGATCCAGGCAACACATGGGTAACTTTTTTACTTTTACTGAACACATGCATGACACCTGGCACAGACGTACATCCTCACAAGCTCAGTTGATAAGCATGCTTTCTTACTTGCTTGCCATCAAGCTCCACGACCTCTGCTTGAATGACAAGCAGTTGCAAACCGGAACCAGAGGTCATAGGCCACTCGTGAACTACAATCCTCACACTGACCACTCCAAAACACTCTTTCTGCTTCAGGCTTTCCAGACTCTCATTCTTCACTGTAAGAAAGGGGGGGGGGCAGTAAGAGCTCTGAACAAAAACTGCACTAAATCTGATGCTGAATTTGATTATTTTGATGACGTTTACATGGAACAAAACAGTTATAAACCAATTTCTTTGATTTCTTTATTTAGCCCTGACTTCTGCTGCCAGAAGACAAACTCGACCTCAAGTTTTAGCAAAATAAGTGCAGTCATTCATCCACAAAATCCAGGGAGAGAGGGGTCCGGGCAGTAAGGATGCGAGTTCTCCTCTCCGTGCCTCCCCCAGTGAGTGGTTTGTTACTGTTGGAAAGGACAGGGATGGAGAATAGGGTGGGGGAAGCCGGTCTCTACTCCCTAGTTACGGGTAATGGGGTAGGACTAGCTTCTGGGCAGTGGTCCACTCTCGCTAGGAAGCCTCCATCCCCACCCCAGTGGAGAGGAGGTATAGTAGTTGCAGCTGTTCAGAGAACCAGTGGTTAGTCTATGAAGTGCAACATACACCAGTAAAACTGCCACAAAAGGAGGATTTCGCCTCTGGCCCTTAAATAACAAGCATTATTTGCCAAGAAGGAACCAGATGTATGTCCTGAATGCAAACCAGCTGTTTAAATGGACGCTGTACCCTCACAGGACTATTTCTTCTATCTGGCAGCATTTGAGAAGTCACAGGAAGCAGCTAACTGAGGTGAGCACAGTAGCAAAAGCTAGGGGCTGGCCCTGTGTGGCTCAGGTGTTAAGTCACTGCCTCTGATGCAAGCATCCCGCGTCAGAGCGTCAGCTTAAGTCCTGGCTGCTCTGCTTCCAATCCACCTCCCTGCTCATGTGCCTGGGAAAGTAGAAGGTGACCCAAATCCCTGGGCCCTGGCACTCATGAGTGAGACCCGGATGCAGTCCCAGGCTTGTGGCCCTGGCCCTCTCCTTGTCACTGCCCTTTCAAATCAATAAAAATAGATCTTAAAAAAAAAAAACCATAGGCTCTGCTACTCTTCCCCACAGCCATGTGCCAATTCTCATTGCCAAAGCCGAACGGTAGAGAAGCTCAGAACCTGAGCAGAAAGCAGTGACTAAGAGGCGGAGAAGCCAAACGAAGCATCTGCTGTCTCATGCAGCCGGGGATAAAATGCAGCTCGACTCTGAAGCAAAGATGCTCGCTTGGGGAGGGCATCTGGCCTACAGGAAGAGACCCCCACACCCCATACCCACCTCCCGTCTTGGACCGCCTGGGTTCAGCACGCGCCTCCAGCCTCCCTGCCAGCAGCACACCCTGGGAGGCAGCAGGGGTGGCTCAGTAGCTGGGTCCCTGCCACTTACACATGAGACCCGGATTGAGTTCCTGCCTTCCAGCTTCAGCCTGGCCCAGCCTTGGCCGTTGTGGGCCGCTGTGGGCCTCTGGGCAGTGAGCCAGCAGACGGGAGCAGGCTCGCTCTCTGCTTCTCAACACAGAAACCTACAGCCTACTTTTTTATTTGAGAGGGAGAGGGAGAGGGAGAGGGAGAGGGAGAGGGAGAGGGAGAGGGAGGGAGGGAGGGAGAGAGGGGGGGGGGGGGAGATGTAGAAACAGAAAGAGAGAGAGCTCTTCCATTGGTTGGTTTACTCCCCAAATGACCACAATGGCCAGGAGTGGGCCAGGCCAAAGCGAGGAGCCTGAACTCCATCTAGCTCTCCCACGTGGAGTACCTGGGCCGTCTTCCACTGCTTTCCTGGGCACATTAACAGGGAGTTGGACTGGAAGTCGAGTAGTTGGACCCGCACCAGCGCTCCTAGAGGATACTGGCACGGAATAACCCATTGCGTCACAACGCTGGCTACGCCAGCTCCCGCGATATACTTCTAAAAATGCTAAGCTATGATTCCATGTCCAGCAAAAATATTCTTCTAAAATGAAGGAAAAATGAATATGTTTTAGTTTTCATATGATTCCCTTCTAACATACTTACACTAAAAGTACTAAGAAAGAAAGACAATTTTAAATATTAAAGGGAATTATTTAGGCAGAAGTAAAATGGCCCCAGAGCAGAGCAGAGATATTTAAGAGGGATGGAAGAGCAATGGAAAGAGTAACATGAGAGTCCACAAATAAATACTGGACTATATAAAACATTACAAACAATTACATCCCATAATATGCTTAAGAATGCAAAGAGTAAAAATTCACGATAATAATAATGCAAAGACAAAAAGGGAATAAATGAAAGCTAAGTATTCTTTGCTTCTTTTTTTTAAGATTTATTTTATTTGAAAGTCAGAGTTACACAGAGATAGGACAAGCAGAGAGAGAGGGGTCTTCCATCCACTGGTTCACTCCCCAAATGGCCACAATGGACGGAGCTGCGCTGATCTGAAGCCAGGAGCCAAGAGCTTCTTCCTGGTCTCCCACACGGGTGCAGGGGCCCAAGGACCTGGGCCATCTTCTACTGCTTTCCCAGGCCATAGCAGAGAGATGGGTCGAAAGTGGAACAGCTGGGACTTAAACTGACACCCATATGGGATGCCGGCATTGCAGGCAGCTGCTTTACCCACTATGCCACAGCGCCGGCCCCCTTTGGTTTTTACATTATTTGGGAAGCATTAAAAGTGATAACTTGGGGCAAGTGTTGTGGTTCAGTGTGTTAAGATGTTCCTTGGGAAGCCTGCACTCCACATCAGAGTGCCAGTACGAGTCCCAGCTACTCCTCTTTTGATCCAGCTTCCTGCTAATGTACCTGGGGAGGCAACAGATGAAGGTTATCGTGTTTGGGCCCCTGCCACTCATGTGGGAGACCTGGATGGAATTTCTTGCTTTTGGCTTCAGGCTTGCCCAGACCTGGCTGCTGTAGGCATTTGGGGGAGTGAAACAGCACATGGAATATCATATCTATCTTTCCTCTTTCTGTCACTCTGTCTTTCAAATAAATAAATCGTTCACAACAACAAAAAATCACGAATTCACTGACATCAAGAGTAACCACTAAAAGTTCAATAAAGTGACGTAAAACCAGGGGAACTACAAAACAGACAAGCCCAGGGGAACTACAAGCCCAGGGGAACTGCAAAACAAAAAATAATCCAGAAAGGGGCAAAAAAGGGAGTGGGGGAGGGGAGACACAGACTATATGAGACAAACAGAAAACAATGAACATGGAGGACTTGCATTCAAATATATCATAATTACATGAATGTAAACAAAATCCCAGTTTAAAATCAGAATGACACACTGAAGTAAAAAGAAACAACAGGGCCGATGTGTGACAAAGCAGGTTAAGCCGCTGCCTGCAGTGCTGGCATCCCATATGGGCGCTGTTTCAGGTCCCTACTGCTCCACTTCTGATCCAGCTCCCTGCTGATGCGCCTGGGAAGGCAGTGGAAGATGGCCCAAGTAGTGTGGCCCCTGCACCCACATGGGAGACCCAAATGAGGCTACTGGTTTCAGCCTGGACCAGCCCTGGCTGTTGCAGCCGTTTGAGAAGTGAGCCAGTGGACAGAAAATCTCTCTCTCTCTCTCAAATAAACAAATAAATAAATCTTTAAAAAAAAGAGGAGGGGGCAATAATAAATGTTAACTGCTCATGAGAGATTTACCTTAAATACAAGGCCCCAGAAAAACTGAAAGAAAATGGAAAGATACACCCACATCCACCCCTCCTCTTGCCCCCCCAAAAGGCAGTTATTGCTAAAGTAATAGAGATGAGTTTGACTTTAAAGCAAGAACATAACTAGAGATAAAGAGGGACATACTATAACGATAAGAGAGTAAACTGCCAGGAAGACCTAACAGTTGTAAACATGTGTGCATTAGTAATACTGTGTCAAATAAAACAAAAACTAATAGAACTGAAAGGAGAACAGAAAAATCCACAGAATGGAGTTTTCTGTTTGTTTTTTGTTGTTTTTTTGTTTGTTTGTTTGTTTGTTTGTTTTGGACAGGCAGAGTTAGTGAGAGAGAGAGACAAAGAGAAAGGTCTTCCTTCCATTGGTTCACCCCCTAAACGGCTCCGAAGCCAGGAGCCAGGTGCTTCCTCCTGGTCTCCCATGTGGGTGCAGGGCCCACGCACTTGGGCCATCCTCCACTGCCTTCCCGGGCCACAGCAGAGAGCTGGCCTGGAAGAGGAGCAACTGGGACAGAATCCGGCACCCCAACCGGGACTAGAACCCGGGGTGCCGGTGCCGCAAGTGGAGGATTAGCCTAGTGAGCCGCGGCGCTAGCCAGAACAGAGATTTTAACACTCAATAATCAACAGAGTAAGAAAACCATCAAAAACATCAGTAACTGCACAGGATTAAATATTTGATCTGGCACACAAAGAACATAATATCCAAATAATAACATAATTCACTTTCTTTTCAAACACACTTGGAAAGACATTTACAAAAATTGTCATACTAAGCCATAAATCAAGTCCAATTTCAGAGGACTGAAATTACATAGAATACAAGGCCCCAAAAAAACTGAAAGAAAATGGCTTAACCTGCTTTGTCACACATTGGCCATGTTGTTTCTTTTTAATTCAATGTGTCATTCTGATTTTAAACTGGGATTTTGTTTACATTAATGTAATTATGATATATTTGAATGCAAGTCCTCCATGTTCATTGTTTTCTGTTTGTCTCATATATTTTGTGTCTCCCCTCCCCCACCCCCTTTTTTGCCCCTTTCTGGATTATTTTTTGTTTTGCAGTTCCCCTGGTCTTGTAGTTCCCCTGGTCTTACGTCACTTTACTGAACTGTCAATATGCTATCAACGGCAGTGGAATCAGTAAAGAGTCCCAAACATTTGGAAAAGAGGCAGGGTACTTCCAAATGATGCACAGGACAAAGAAAGAGCAAAACAAATAATTAGGAAACATTTTGAACTCAACAGAAATTAAAATATATAATAAATCAAGTATAGGACAGAAGTTCTTAGGGTATAATTTATGGCCTTAAATGCAAAAAAAAGATTCCTATATATATTTCTCATTTTGGTCCTTCCATTCAAATAATATGGTATATTACAAAGTAACATATCTGCTTATCTTTAAACAAATCAAAACATTTTTAAAAATTTTTATTTATTTTCACTTGAAAGGTAGACGTATGGACAGAAGACAGTGAGATCACTCCCCAAATGCCTACAACAGCTTGGGCTGGGCCAGGCAGAACCAGGAGCCCAGCATTCAATCCAGGTCTCCCATGAGTGTCAGGGATCCAATTACTGAAGTCAGCTGTGGCCTCCAAGTGTGCATTCGTAGGAAGCTAGAACTGCTAGCAGAACTGGAACTCGAACCCAGGCATGCCAAAATGATAGACAGGCATCCCAAAGAGTGCTCGCCCCAGCAGCTCAAAATTTTAAAAGACTAAAAAGAAAAACGTTTTACTAACATAAGGGTAGAAGAAGGTGAAAACTAGAGAACCACACAGACAATTCATTTTCTCTTTATTTTCTACAACTGAAGTAAGTGCTCCTCCATGACTTTGGTTCTCCCTACCCTACTTCTATGCACATTTTTATATATTGATATCAACCTGCCATCGATGCTAATCTCATGAAAGAAAAAAATGAATATTCCATCAACTGCTAATATAAAGAATACAGTTTTAAACATGAGCATTATGAACAATAGTAACGATGTTTATATACTTTTAAGTAAAAATGTATGATTTCTAAGAAACATTTTACTAAAAACAACAATTATGGAAGTAATTAATAGTACTCACCTATCAAAGTCTGACAGCTTATTCGGGTTACACCACTACTTACAGGTAAGTCATTTATATATACCTGTCCAGTCTCATAGGTTACGTTAAGGACAACCTTCAAATAAAGCAGCATACACATTAATTCCAATGGTTTATAAAAGGTGACAAACTTCATGTCAAAAATACATTATGTACCCACGTTGGATGTGCAGGTGCCATGGTATGGATGTGACTTGGCCCCTACAAGTTCACGTTAGAGACCTGGGCCTCAACTGCAGGTGCTGGGGTGGAGGGCCTGTAAGAGGCAGGGGCTCCTTAAGTCACTGAGGACATCTCTCACTCTCCCTGGCTTTGTGTCTGGTAGTGTGATATAACCGCTGGCTCCTGCCACTGTGGTGCCATCTGCCCATCTGCAGGGCTGATGTCAACACCATGCCTCTGAACCTCCAGAACCATGAGCTAAATAATCCTTTTCTTTATAAAGTAGTCTGCCTCAGGTGTCTTGTTACAGTAACAGAAACCAAAGTACTATAGTAGGTAAACATAAAATAGGTTTTAGAATATAAATAATATACTAAATAATTTAGGATATAAACAATATACTAAAAACAATCAAAAGGAGACAAACCTGTGCTTCAGATATCTCTCCATCATCCTTCAAGGTAGTTACATTAATCCTGATACTGTCCTGCAAAATAAATATTATATAAATTGGACAGGTATGCATTTCACAAAGTTAGACTAATTCAGTCCTTCTCCTTTTCCCTTCGATTATATTGTACTATCACTTAAATATGAAAAGAATGTGTTATAGACCATCATTTTCATTTTTGCAGCTTTTATTATGCTCTTATTCAAAATTCCAAATTTTTATAATCTATACTTTTCCTATTTCATTGTGAAATATCACATCTATAAGCACAGAATATGCAAATGTGGGGTTTAAAAGATTTATCCTCATGTACCTCTTAACCTACCTTGAGATCTGCAACTTCAACAGTGCCCTGGAAGTCTCAACAGGACAATCACATTGCCCTCAGGCTCCCTGGAAGGAATCCCTATACTGACTTCTGGGTTAATCGTTTCCTGCTTGCCTTTATAATGTGACTCCCCGTGTATCTCTGTGGACACACACTGCTTAGCTTTACTGGTTTCTGAGCGATACATAAACAGCAGCTGTTAAAGCATTCTTCCGCAACTTCTCTTTCCTTCAATTGTTGATGGATGCAGCTGCAGTCACTGGTTTGCAGCACTGCGTAACATCCCATCCTATGATTGCCAATGGACTTCATCGTTCCGCTACCCATGGACATATGCTTCTCCCAACATTTTGCTATTCTCTGCCCTGTGAATGTGTCTCTTGGATAAGTATCTGTTGTGCAGTTTTATTGTTTCTCAAGGTAGATAAAAAACAGTCCACCCAAATATTTAAGTGTACTGATGGCATGCTTTCTGTACAGAAGAAAGCACTGTTTTCAATATTCATCACTGACCACAGAAACCACAATCTGCCATTTGTAAACCAAATTCTTCCCTCAGGTTTTCAAAGATATTGTTACCCCACAATAAAAATACTTCCTTTTTAAAGATTCATTTATTTACTTGAAAGACAGAGAGAGAGAGAGAGAGAGAGAGAGAGGTCTTCCATCCGCTGGTTCACTCCCCAGATGGCCGCATCGGCTGGAGCTGAGCCAGGAGCCAGGAGCTTCTTCCAGATCTCCCATGCAGGTGTAGGGGCCAAAGGACTTGGGCCACCTTCTACTGCTTTCCCAGGCCATAGCAGAGAGCTGGATCAGAAGTGGAGCAGCCAGGACTCAAACTGGTGCCCCCATATGGGATGCCGGCACTGCAGGCAGCAGCTTTAGCCACAACGCCAAAGCACCGGCCCCTAAAAATACTTTTAAAATACTTGTCTTGGGGCTGTATTCTTAATTTTAAAAATAGGAAAATTATTCATAAGCATAAAAAATAATATGCAAGTATATTTCTTGGCATTGTGAGTATCCTTAATACCTCATATAAAGTCACATAACAACATTTTGTTAATGACGGAACCCATATAGACAGTGGCCCCATGAACGTACATTGCATTGTAAAGACACAGCGCTCTTAGTCTGTGTAAGTACACTCCATGATGTTCCCAGGATGCATTTCTCAACATGTATCCCTGTCCTTCAGCGACACATGACTCTAATTTCTGACGAAAGAGAGAATAAGACTGACCCGATTTCATGAGGGTGAGCTGGTTGGAGGGATAACTTGTGGAACAGGATTCACACCACGGGTTCACACCACGTAAGGCCCACCTCACACATGCGAGCTGATTTTGGTGCACCTCCCAACTCCCCTTAGGAACCGAGGAAGGTTTCCAACTAGTTACCTCTCAGAACCAGCCCAGCATTTCTCCTGGTCCACCCAGATCGAGAGAAAGCTGAAGTTAGAACAAACAGTCCCTCTAAAACAAGCCAACATGCAATAAGCCATCAAGCTAGAAGCTACATCGTTTTGTGTCTGAAGACCAATCAGATGTTCCTATTCCCAAATTAGAGAAGGACTTGAATGCTGGCTTTTGTCCTAACAGTCCTGACAAAGTATCCAGTGATGTTCTCAGGCATTTTTTATAGCTTCGGCCTGCAGCAGTGAGCATATGCTATATTGTTAGTAACTTACTGCAGTTACTTACGTATGTAACACTTGCAACACTTGCCTAGTGAAATACAGGCTTCACAAAAGACAACAGTATTTTCCATTGAACCAACTTTAACTAAATTCTGCTCTGGCCTTCTAACAATTCCACTGTAGACGGGCACTCCGATTCTCACTGTCTGCTGACATAAAAGATCAGAGCTTGGTCATGTTTCTTGCTCTTCCTGAGAATCTCTGGTTGAACTGGAAGTGCAGGCTTGGGAGTCAAGTTTGTACATGCTAAGAAAGTGGGCGGTGAGGGGCCGGCGCTGTGGCACAGTGGATTAGGGCCCTGGCATCCAGGTGCCACTGAAGCATGGACTATTGTAAAATTCTTTCAAGTTTTTTGCACATGTGAATATTTTTCACTATAAAACACTGGAAAAAAAAAAAACTTAGATCAAGGGGCTTCAGCTTCCAACACATATATTCCAAGTAATGAGAACAATTCCTCCTTCTCAGATTGTTACAGAACACCAAAACCTGGGGCCGGGGTTGCAGCTCAGCAGGTAAAGTCACAACCTGCATCACCAGCATCCCCTACCAGACTACAGGTCAGAGTCCTGGCTACTCCCCTTCTGATCCGGCTCCCTGCTAACACACCTGGGAAAGCACAGGAGGATGGCCCGCAATCACATGGGAGACCGCCAGGATGGAGTTCCTGGCTCCTGGCTCTCACCTGGCACGGACCCAGCTGTTGTGGCCACTGTGGGATGAACCAGCGGATGAAAGTTCTCACCCACATGGGCAGCCGGCATCACAGGCGGTGGTTTAACCTGCTGCGCCACAGCACCGGCCCCATCGCCACTCAGGCAGCTACTGCTCATTTCTTGAGCTCTGTGGGGAACAATGGCAGTGAATTTTACACATTAAAGTAGATCTCAAGCAGTGTCTCATCAGCTCATGTCGGGGGCTCCTGGTGGGTCCATGAAGGTCATGGCCTTCCTTTGGTTTCTCTTGTAGTGGGAAAGTGGTCTCCAGCCTATCTGGGGTCTCCAGGTAGCTTGGGTACCCCTTTATTTGATCAAGGGCTGCAAGTTCCTGTCAAGCTCTCAGAATAGAGTCTGATAGTGGGATATCACCTAGAGAAGCGATCCCTGAATTCTGAGCGCGACTCTGTAGGACCTACTCTTCTTCCACACCCTTAATTTTGAGTTGCCTTGCAATCATCAAAGGGAATATACAGAAACTGGAGCTGGTGCTGTGGCACAGCAGGTTAGAGCCCTGGCCTGCAGCGCTGGCATCTCATATGGGGCCAGTTCAAGTCCTGGCTGCTCCACTTCTGATCCAGCTCCCTTCTAACGCGCCTGGTAATGCAGCAAAGGATGGCCCAAGTCCTTGGGCCCCTGCACCCACGAGGGAGACCCAGAAGAAGCTCCTGGCTCCTGGCTTTGGATCAGCTCAGTTCTGGCCATTGCGGCCATTTGGGGAGTGAACCAGTGGATGGAAGACCTCTCTCTCTGCCTCTGCCTTTCTGTATAACTCTTTCAAATAAATAAAAAAATAAATCCTTTTTTTTTTAAAGATAGAAATTGTAAGTTGAGGGAAGATACCGGAGCCTCATAAAGTATACATCAAAAGCACTGGGGGGCCGGCGCCATGGCTCACTAGGCTAATCCTCCACCTAGCGGCACCGGCACACTGGGTTCTAGTCCCGGTCGGGGTGCCGGATTCTGTCCCGGTTGCCCCTCTTCCAGTCCAGCTCTCTGCTGTGGCCCGGGAAGGCAGTGGAGGATGGCCCAAGTACTTGGGCCCTGCACCCCATGGGAGACAAGGAGAAGCACCTGGCTCCTGCCTTCGGATCAGCGCAGTGCGCCCGCCGCAGCACGCCAGCCATGGCGGCCATTGGAGGGTGAACCAACGGCAAAAGGAAGACCTTTCTCTCTGTCTCTCTCACTGTCCACTCTGCCTGTCAAAAAAAAGCACTGGGGGTAAGGGCCCAGTTTCAAGATTATATGGTCAGGGGCCGGCTCTGTGGAGTGGCGAGTAAAGCCACCGCCTGCAGTGTCGGCATCCCATATGGGCGCTGTTTGGTGTCCCGACTGCTCCTCTTCGAGTCCAGCTCTCTGCTATGGCCTGGGAAAGCAGAGGAAGATGGCTCAAGTATTTGGGTCCTGCCACCCATGTGGGATTCGGAAGAAGCTCCTGGCTCCTGGCTTTGGCCTGGCCCAGCTCCAGTGAACCAGTGGGTGAAGATCAATCTCTCTTTCCTCCTCCCCTACCTTTCAAATAACTAAATCTTTTTTTAAAAAATTTCAAATACATAAATATTTGAAAAGATTATATGGTCAGATTCAAAGGTCTCCTGGGTTCACAAGTAAGCATGAGTCTTTCGAAGTGGCAAAGGAGGAGGAAGAATGTGCATTTCTCTAGAACTTTAAGGTTGTTTGGTTTTTATTTGGTTTCTTGGTGCTTGCCCGCAGCATTGCGGGGGCGCCCGGGCAGAACTGAGACAGACAAGCCTTCACTTTCAGAGCCACGGAGAGCAAGGGCTCGGATCTAAAACACTGAAAGTGGCTTCCAGCGAACCGGTCGCCCCTGTGTTTAGTGCATCCCCAGCCAAGCCTCCACTAGTAAGAAAAGGGGGCCTCCCTAGCTTCCTGTCACTCACAGCGAAACAGTTCAAACTTTCCCCGCCGGACAACTGGAGAAGGCTGGCTTGGTTCGGCAGACCCCGCCGCGGAAACCGAGGCGCGCAGGGGTGCGGTTCTCGCACCTGGGCGCTCCCGAATCACCTGCAGGGGCGGCGGCTACCGAGCGCGGGTCCCGCCCGCAGCAAGGCCGCACCGAGCTCCCGCCGCCCGGCGTCCCGGGCCGTGGGCCTCTGCCCCGAGCCGACACAGCTGGCCGGGCTCTCCCCAAGTGGGCAACCTCCACGCTGCCCGAGCACGGCGCCATTAGCGGAGCCCGAGGTCAGGGCGACCGGGCGCTTCCGACGGCGGAGCCCCTGGGCAACGGCGAGGCTGGACCGCTCGGAAGACCCGAGTTTCGTGGTCCCTTCCC